AACAATTTTAAGAAAGAAGTATAAATCAGTTTACCCAATTTCAAGACTTATTATATAGTAGCTAAAGTAATCAAGATGGAATGGTATTGGCAGAAGCAAAGACACACATCGGTGGAACATAACTGAGAACCCAGAAATAGACCCACACTACTAATTTTTTCTAAAGGTGCAAAAGCAACTCAGGCAGAAAAATAGGCTTTTTAAGAGATGGTGCTGGAGCAAATGGGTATCCATAGGCAAAATGATGAACCTTGAACTAAGTCTCATCCCTTATACAGAAATTAACTCAAAATGGACCACTGACTCAAATGTTAAACATAAAACCATAAAACTTTTAGGAAAAAAATGTAAGAGAAAATCTTCAGGATCTAGGACTAGACAGAGTCCTTAAATTTGACACCAAAAGATCCTTAAAAGGAGAAATTGATAATTTGGACTTCACAAAATTAAAAACTTCTTATCTGTGAAAGACCCTGTTAAGAGGATGAAGAGACACAGCTACAGAGTGGGAGAATATATGTGCAAACCATATATCCAAAAAAGGACTAGTATCTAGAATATGTAAATATTTTCAAAACTCAGTAGTAAAAGACAACAATCCAATTAGAAAATGGACAAAAGATATGAAGAGACATTTCACCAAAGAGGATATACAGCTGGCAAATAAGCACACAAAAATGTTCAACTTCACTACCCATTAGCCAAATGCAAATTAAAACCACAATGACATATCAATCCAGAATCCACACTTACCNAAGAAAAGAAAAAAAAGTTAAAATTCATTTTGCTGATGACCTGGTATGTTTGTGATTACTTAAAGGCTATATTAAACACTATCTCTAGTTATTCAATAACAATATCAATTCCAAAAAGCATATTAAACATGCTTTGGCTACAAAGAATAATGATTTTATTTTTCCCAAAATTAAGTTTTATTGGTAAGAATAATAAAATACTATAAAGGAATATAATAAAATATTATTTTAATAGTAATATTCAAATTTAATCATAATATTTAAATGTAACATGAATATTATAATTTTAATTACAACTTTAGATCACTGTTAAAATACTCATTTAATATATCTATTACAAATGCAAATACAGCATAAATGTACAGAAACATAATAGCAAAACTTACCTCCTTCTAAATCATATCTGAATAAGCCAAGAACCCACTGAGTAAGAATGCAAGGAGTAAAAAAATAGTGACTGTAATCATCAACAGTAAATTTGGCCCGCACCTGAAAAAGAAAATATAGTAAATGATCTTTGTAATTTCTTAAATATATAATCATGCTATAAATTTTTCAGTCATCTTAAACTCACAGGAATGCCAATTTCTACCTATGAGTGGAAGTGTATTTCAGTATAGTAATTGGTATTCTTGGTTATCCTACATATATTATACTTTATGCATTTAAACACACTATTCTAAGAGGGGTTCATAAGCCTCAACAGACTTCCAAGGGTTGTCTATGGTAAACAGAAAAAATAAATAAATAAATAAATAAATTATATATAT